TGCCCCACCATCCACTCCTAGAGTCCCCATCAGAGTCACCCCACATGCACACACCCCACGTCCACACACTGTGCCCCACCATCCACTCCTACAGTCCCCATCAGAGTCATCCCACATGCACATGCCCCACGTCCACATACCACATCCGACCATCCACTCCTATAGTCCCCATCAGAGCCACCCCACATGTACATGTCCCATGTCCACACACTGTGCTCCACCATCCACTCCTACAGTCCCCATCACAGCCACCCCACATGCACATGCCCCACGTCCACATACCATATCCGACCATCCACTCCTACATTCCTCATCACAGTGAGACTCACCTCACATGCATATACCCCATGTCCACACATCACACCCCACCATCTACTCCCACAGCCTCCATTGCAGTGATTCACTTCCCGTTGGCAGAGAGTGTCTCAATCAGCCTTCCCGCTGGAGGCCTGGCGCCAAGGCCCTTTTTCCAAATCCACTTCTATCCAGCAGCCCTCCCCTGGTCACTATGCCCCTCGCCCTTTCCCCACCCATGTGTTCCACATGCATGGTCTGGCTGCAGGTTTCTTCCTGCCTTGATGTGTGGCTGCCGTGAGGACATGGAGCACACAGGCCAAGGAGGGTGGGTTCTCTCATCTCATGGGAAGCGAAACTGTGACCCGACGGGTTTTCTCTCACAGATGCGGATCTGAGCAGTGGGCTGTCGGTGTCAACACCTTTTTAGGAGCTGCCGGCACAGAAACAGCATTTCATCACATCAGGTGCTGGGATTAAGGCCATGGCGCCCTTGAGCTTGGATCCTTGGTGCTTAGGGAGTGCAGGGGTTTTGTCCAGGGGAGCAGCCTCTCCTGGCTCTGCTGAGGACACTGGCCTTTAGGGGCCATCCTACCAATTAGAACTTGGCCATCACAGGGACACTGAACCCAAAATGATGGGTGCTGGCCTGGAGCCAGACCAGGAAGGCTTCCTCACCAGGTTGCACCAGCTGGGTGCCCATCTTTTTTCTGCACTAGGTCCTCGCCTCGATGGGCATCGATGGCCCACACGAGCCTGCCATCACCTGGTGGGTACTAAGCCTCCTGGTTCCCAGATGCCCGTGTGAAATGCTGGGTGTCCAAGAGGCAGAGGCTAAGCTCTAAGCCAACTTGGTGACTTTCAGAGTTTGTGATCGTTTAAAAAAAAAAAAAAAAAGATTGGATTACATCAGTCCTTTCTGGGACACACAGGCTTTTGTACTGGAATTTCTGCCAGGACCAGAAATGTGGCCAGGCGGGGGCCAGCTGCACTCTCTGAAAAGTGGCCCCTGAGCCCCTTAAACACCCTGGCCCGTCTGCTGCATGCAGGCAGCACAGCCAGCCTCACAAAGCTCCGTCCAGTGGACCAATTTACAGAGAGCGTGGCAGGACCAGACTGGTCCCAGGTGCCATCAGAGCCTGGGCCACGGCCTTTCGTGGGCGGAGCTGTCTGCCTGCAGGGTGGGAGCTGCTCCAAGACCTGACGCTTATGATTTGTTTAAAGCTGCTTGGTGGCACAGGCGTCAGGCCCCCTGCACCTTCTGGGGAGCCTCAGCCTAGCGGCTGTGTGCCTCGCCTCGTCTCAGGGTGTCCACAGATGGACAGACACCCATGGGGCGGGTGGGAGCGGATGGCCTAGAGTTGTTGGGCTGGGCCCCCGGGGCAGCTCTGAGGTCACACCTCCCTCTGCAGCCGCGTGGGCTGCTTCAGTCCTTGGCTTTGACAGCAGCCCATGAAAAGGGGCTCTCCACGTCATGAGCACCTCAGGTGGCCAGCTCCTGCCCTTTTCAACCAACTGAAGGCTGATGTTGGCCTATGAAGTCTCTCTCCCTCTCCAAACCATGTGGTGAACCATGTGACAACAGCCCATGAGCCCAGCAGAGCCCTCTAGCAGTCTCCCTTTCAGAACTAATGGGTGTATATTTACAGGCATTTTGCCAACCTCTGGCCCTCACACCGAGAGTCACTAGAGGTCAAAAGTAATGAAAAACCACACGAGATGTGGCCTTGGAGGACGAAGTCTCAAGGCTACTCTTACGAGGCCCTTGGAGCCGGTGCTCCTTTGTCTGTGCAGAAGTGACAGCCTGACCTTTGTTCATGTGCACACATCCGGGTACGGGTCCATTACACAGCAAACAGATGTGGGTATGGCTGTGATCTGGATAGGCACCCTGACACAGTCACAGGGGATGTGAGTATACAGAGACACAGATGATAGAGGTAATGTAGATATAGCCACGGACACGGATACACTGGTGTGGATGTGGATATTTACATAGATAGCGACAGGAAGGATGTCCTTGAACGGATATCCAT